AAATCCTTTATCAGATCGACAACAAAACAGGATAGACTTGTAGGACTTGCAACCTTATCAATAGAGAAAGATATTGCTCAAACTATAAGTCTAACTGAACTTGTATCTGACTTTTCCAAGTTGAAAGCAAGAAAAAAATTAATGTAAATTTGTAATATAGTAATTCTTAAGTTTAACGCATCTTCATTTATTTATTTAAATTACCTGATATTTTCGAAACTAAAAAACTTATTATATTTTGTCATTACTAGCGCTGATTTATCCTAAAATATATTTTAATAAGATTATGCAGTTTATGTACTTTAATTAAGTATGAAAACTTTAAGGGGGGCGGCTCACAGATTTTTTGCCTAGGGCGGCAGGTTCGCTTGCGCCGGCCCTGTATATGCATATGAGTGTTGCTGTTTTATAATTCAAAGTTCATTTATTTGCTATTTAAAAACCTATCCACCGTGAAGTGTAATATCTCAGTAAGTAGATTTTTTTATAAATATTGTATGTATGTACAATTGTATTTTTAAAAAATATTAAGGTGTCAAAAGATACAATAACTTATTTCAAATATACAAAGGGCAGTTTAAAAAAACATACGAAATCCTAACCTCCGTGATATTTTGTATAGATGACCTTGTTCCCGTTTCTGAGGGAAAATTTGTTGTTTTTGTGTGCTTTTTTGCTTTATGCGCATAGTCAGTTCATAAGTGGGGGATTAAAATACATGATACCATAGACATCACATAACATAAGATAGAGAAATTAATACGTCCACTTATGATACGAATTGTTAACTAAATAGAATTTAGGTTTTATAAAAAATTTCTAAATCATTTGGTTACATAGCCTGGGTTAAGCTTACAAACATTTCTGTGATTTGCATATTATGTAAAATCCACTAAAAATCTCGTAAAAACAATGCAAAAAAACAATGCCAAAACAATTGGTATTAAGTTCATTTATTTGCTATTTAAAACCCTATCCACCGTGAAGTGTAATATCTCAGTAAGTAGATTTTTTTTAAAATATTGTATGTATGTAGGTACAATTGTATTTTTTTTAAATATTAAGGTGTCAAAAGATATAATAACTTATTCCAAATATTCAAAGGGATGTTTAAAAAAACATACGAAATCCTAACCTCCGTGAAGCTCCAATATTCAAAATATATGATTTCTTAAAATTCTTGCATTAGTGCAAAACCACTTATGTTATGTTACCCTGCTTAAAATACCCCATATACAAAATAATCTATCGGGCGCTACCGGATTCAATATGTGCATTTGTCCATGTTTTTTTCCGGATACGGCCCGATAAAAAATGTATAGGAAATTACCCATAGGCACACCATAACATTTACATTTTCCCTATTGAGACTGATTGAAAATAACTCAATGAAGGATATATGGGTATATCCCTATAGAGCAACCATAAAACACTTGACAAAATTTTATTAAAACCTATAGGGTCATATGGGGGAAAAAGTGATTTCTACATTTATGTGTATTTTCCCCATTGAAACCAATAGCAAATAAATCAAGGGTGGATATCTCTATAGAACAACCATAAATCCAAACTATGGGTCCTATACATACCGATACACCCTATAGAAACACCATACATTCCGATACAAATATCTATCGGTTTGAACAGGGTCTCTATGGGGTATTTTAAGCAGGGTATTACTAGACCTGGTGGCTTCCCAAAAACCCCATTGTAGACTAACAGTAAAACAACCAAAAATAAAAAATAATCATTTTCACTTGGGGGACATCTCAATATATTCACCCACTACATATATGTAATTAATGTAATATATTAAAATACTGAATAACTTTTGACATAAGGTGTAACGGAAAAATAATTAAAAATATTTTCTCAAAGATGAAGAAAAAAATATGCATTAGAAGTTTTTATTTTTGGGATACGCCACTGGTTACACACTCGTGTTCTGTGAGTACATAGATACCAACCAACAAAGTAGCTGCGCGTTGCCAGTTTTAAAAAATTGTTTGTAACAATTTTTCTTGCAAAAAATAAATACAAACGTTTTAAAGCTGTATTTATTTACTCATCCAGCTATTAGCTTAAGCAATGATTAGAACATTTAGTACGTATTTTAAAACGCTGTGGCTCCCGTCCCGAGGCGGGACTTAATTAAGTTCAGTCCCGAGTGACGTCATAATTTTAAGATTTGTTATGTTACGTTAAAACTAAAACAAACCAACCAACTCAACCCAACACTTTATAACAAAGGAACAACAAATTTATAAAATAAAAAAGTTCGACAACTTCTAGTAGAATCGAATCCGGTACCTCTCGCATGCCAAACGACCGCCCTACCATCTGAGCCATCCAGCCAGCGTTGCCAGACCAAGAAAAAATTCTGCACTGATTCTAAGAAAAACACGTACTGATTTTACTGAAAAGGTACTGTTTTTGATAAAATACAAGATTTTGTAAATATTTTTATTTGGCTTAGTCAAAATCTGTTAAAGTGGTATACTTTAACGGCTAGATTTTTACATGTCAATAGCAAATTAATTATATTGAATTTTACATACAAAAATTGTCTTTAAAGTAAAACTTATCATGTACCTGTAAATAGGCCTTTATCCACCACTGGACGAGATTATTTTATTTTCCGTTCATTTTTACAATGTTATACCTACCACCGTTTGTTCGGTGAAATTTTTTAGTTTGGGAAAAAGAATTTATTATAAAAAGTAATTTTTTCTTTAACTAATGTATATTTTTGTCAAATTATGCTTGTCCTATTTGTCATTTGTTTAAGTTTTAATTTTTTTTTGGATGGGAAGGAAATTTAGTAAAACGTACTGAAATTTTGAAAGTAGCACTGACGTACTGACATACCTTTAAAAGTACAGATTTCAGTACAAAAGTACTGGCACTGACAACGCTGCATCCAGCCTAACATCAATTTTAAACGCTCGGGGAATAAAAACGGATGACGTCAGTCGGGATCGAAGTTAAGTCCCGCCACGGGACGGGAGCCACATCGACAAACCACAAAATTAATTTTTTTATCGGTTTTTTTCTTTCTGTTTACTCAAATGAAATTAGGGCCAGTTGACAGGTTAAACTTTAGACATTCAATTTGTGTAAATAATTTATGTCCTCAAATTGTAAATATCTTAACTAAGGGAAGTGCTTATGTCACATAAATTTTAAAGAAATGCACTAGATTCTGTCATAAAAGTTGCCAGATTGCCAATTTATAAAAAGGTCAAATTAATAATTTGCATTGTTGATTTTGTCGTTTTTGTAATTAATTATTATTATTATTATTAGTGGCGCACTTTTTGGTAGGATAAAGGTTATTATAAATTATTTTTAGTCTTTAGAATTTAGAAAAAAAAGTTTCAGGTGCTTCCTTATGGACCCTACGGAACTACCCATTTTAATATATTAGGTACATTAATTACATAACACCCCATATATATATATACACACATGTCCAAAAGTTTGGAATACTTACAAATAATATATCTACGCCTATGGTAGTTTAAAAAAAGTGTTGTTAATATTTTCTCTATTTTCTCTGTCTTTGAGGTTTATTTATTATTGGTCGGAGTCGTTATAAAATGGTATTTACCTATATAAAAAAATATATATAAATATCAATAAAAAAAGAAATATTGCAATATTCCAAACTTTTGGACATATGTGTATATATATACATATATACAGGGTGTCCCGAAATTAGGGGGCCAAACTTAAACAGTGCATTCTTCATAGAAAAGTAACACTTTTTTGTTAAATAAACATGTTTCAAAAAATGCCCCCTAACGGAGCACGGCCCCCTGAATAGGAGCCTAAGAGAATAGTTTTTTTTTTAAACTATTCCTAGAGCGTTAAACATGAAGAAATGAAATTTTGGCACTTTGGTAATTTTTAGATGCTGAATCAAGATCTAAGATCAAAACTGTTAAAATTTAATCATAGGCGTAACATTTGTGGGGGAAAAGTTATAAAAATAGCCCTAACTTTTTTCCGAGATAATATTTTAATTTTTTACTATGAAATTATGAAAACTTATAGTTTTTTACGAAAAATAGGTAGTCTTGATTTGAATCGCTCAGATGCACCATTTTCGAGAAAAATGCATTTATAAATTACTCTGCATAGCATTCACATCTCATATTTTCGTTAAAATTTTGTGTTAAAATTTGGAAAATCGCTCCATAATAAAAAATAACAAAAATCGAGCCAAAAAATATTAACTAAACCATAAAAATAAATGTAAAGACAGCAAATAACCCAAACGTCACTTTTGTCCCAAAGCTTTTTAATGAAAATATTAAAAATTATGCTAAGCATAGTAATTTAAATTGCAATTTTTTTGAAAATGGTGCATCTGAGCGATTCAAAGCAAGAGTACCTATTTTTCGTGAAAAACTATACATTTTCATAATTTTATAACAAAACATTACTCACTATTATAGTACAATACTCACTCTGCAAAAAGTTGGGGCTGTTTTTGTAAATTTGCCCCCTCAAATGTTACGCCTATGATTAAATTTTAACAGTTTTGATTATAGATCCAGATTCAGAATGTAAAAATTACCAAAGTCCCAAAAATTCAGGTCTTCAACCCTCTAGGAATAGTTTAAAAAAAATGATGCTCTTAAGCTCCTATTTAGGGGGGCGTAGCTCCGTTAGGGGGCATTTTTTGATATATGTTTATTAAACAAAAAAGTGTTATTTTTCTATAAAGAATGCACTGTTTAAGTTTGGCCCCCTAATTTTGGGACACCCTGTATATATATATATATATATATTGAACTTGATAATACAATTTGTTCCCATTGTAAAAAAGTAAATTAATTCGCGAATTAAATCACTGACTTAATTCATATGAATTAATTCGTGCCAACCCTGGTTATTTATTTATTAAACTTTTCAAATGGAGATACCTACTACCTTAAGTTAATATTTAACAAACAATATAATTTACCTAAAAATATGTAGAAACTTAAACTTACAAAAAACTTTTTGAACAAGTGCTACACTTAGACACACTACTACTTTGTCCTAATCTCACTGTATCTTCATCATCCTGGTCCAATAATCCATTATCATGTCTTCTCTAAAATAACACAATAGAATATTTAATTTAGCACACCCAACCAACATTACCTTTAACTCAGTAGCTAAACACAGAAAAGCCTCTTCTATGTTTGAGTTATCTTTAGCACTAGCCTCTAAAACAAACAGTACTTCAGGCATATATTGGCTTAATGTTTCAGCTTCTTCAAATTCCACTTCTCTTAATGTGTCCATATCTGCTTTATTTCCAACAAGAGCCAGTAAAACTGAATTTCCAGAATATCTACGGACCTCCTCCACCCACCTGCTCACTGATAGAAACGAGGATCTTTTGGTAATATCATAAACTATTATCACACCATTTGCAGATCTATAATAACTTTGTGTTATTGTTCTGAACCTTTCCTGCCCTGCAGTATCCCATATTTGAAGCTAAAAATACATTAAATTCCCTGCTTAAAATACCCCATAGAGACCTATACAAAATAATCTATCGGGCGCTACCGGATTCAATATGTGCATTTCTCCATGGTTTTTTCCAGATACGGCCCGATAGAAAATGTATAGGAAATTACCTATAGGCACACCATAACTTTTACATTTCCCCTATTGAGACCGATAGCAATTGCTATTTAAATAACTCAATGAAGGATATATAGGGATATCCCTATAAAGCAACCATAAAACATTTGACAAAATTTTATTAAAACCTATGGGGTCCTATAGGGGAAAAACTAATTTCTACATTTATGTGTATTTTCCCCATTGAAACCAATAGCAAATAAATCAAAGGTGGATGTAATTTATTATTGTTATACCATTGTAGCAGTTTTTGCTAATAAACCAAACCTTTACCTTTACCTTTTATAGAACAACCATAAATCTCAACTATGGGTCCTATACAAACCGATACACCCTATAGAAACACCATACATCCCGATACAAATATCTATCGGTTTGAACAGGGTCTCTATGGGGTATTTTAAGCAGGGTTAATATATGTTTATGGGTGAGTGAGATTTAAAAAAGTAGTAGTTTTATACCTTCACTTTTTTACCATCTACCATAACTGTCTTCATGGAAAAGTCAACTCCTATAGTATTACCATGTCTTTCTATAAAAGTTCCATTTTTAAACCTTTGAACAACACAAGTTTTACCAGTTCCACAGTCACCAATTAACACAATTTTAAAAAGAAAGTCAAAAGATTCCTCATTAGGAATTGTCATTAATGTTGTTGGATTTCTAGTAGTCATTTTAATCGTTTATTCGTGTAATTTTAAATACATAACTATTTATATATTTGTCTTTAAAAACATTTAGATAACAACAACAAACTTGTCTCTGATAATAAGGTTATATTACAAAACACAACAAAAACAGCAGCTATATCCTATAATAGGTAAATACCACAGAATCAAGAAGGCTTGCACAAAACAGGGTGGAACCCTGCACAAAATATAAATACTTAAGTTAGAAGTTGAGCTATTTTATTCTAGGTGGCACCACAATCCTCACAACACACATACTTCCACACATATACCGCTTATTGCCTATATTTTGTATAGATGACCTTGTTCCCGTTTCTAAGGGGAAGTTTGTTCTCGTAGTGTGCCATTTTCCTTTATGCGCATAGTCAGTTCATAAGTGGGGGATTTAAAATACAGGGTGTCCGGGAAAAGGAGGTCAATCCGTTAACCATATATTCCTTGAGTTAAAACAATAAGACTTTCATAATACCATTTTTCAATTTAGAGCTTCATGTTCGATATACAGGGTGACAAAGTTTGAAATTTAAAACTGTTTTTTTTTAATAATTCGAGTAATTGATAAGATATTAAGTTTAAATTCGGTACACTACTTTAACATAAATAGTAACATTTTTTGAGAGCAACAAAACAAAAAACAATTGTTAAATAATCAAAATAGGGGGGTCCAGTACTCACTGACTCCCCCTATTTTTGAGTACGTGCGCCAATGACTTCCAAACGGTATTTTTTCAGGTAATCATTTATTGTTAAAAAAAATGTGTCTCTTATAAAATTTTGATAAAATGATTTGTTTTAGAGATAATTTGTAAAGTATGGGTCAGTCCATATCAAATCAACCAAAGGTTCTTCCCCCACCATCTCCAATTTTGATAATTTTTGGTAAATTTGTTTACCTCACTAAAAAACTCAAAAATCCCATATACAGACTGTATAGAATCAAGTAAGTAAGGCTGGAGACAAGGATGACAAATTATATTCTGATCAGAGGAAAAGAAACAGACTTTAATTGGGCGTGGTTTACCAAGCCATTCGTAATTACGAACCATAGTTGCCAGGTTGTTTTAAATCAGAAGAGTACGATTATAATTATTTAATAAATAGTTCAATTTTATTTGTTTGAAACTTTAAAAATAACAAAAAAATTAATATTATGTCAAAAATAATTTGATTTAGTTAATTTTCTTACTTTTAATATTAAAAAATAAGAAAAACAACCCTTTTAGGAAACAATAATTGCATATGGTAACAGCGCGGCATGCCGCGGATTGTAGCTACACTGGGTAAAGGCCTATTTTGAAACATATTTTGAAATAAAGTTTGTATTTGGCGATACGATCTACCAGTGTGATGCCATACCATAATTTGGTATTTTTCCTCACGAGTAAAAACCATTTTATTTGAGAAAATACTTAAATTCTTACAAAGACGTACGCAAAGTCTCAGTGCATTTCTTAAACTGACGCACAGACAGTGTTGCCAGTAGTAGAAAAATTAAAGTACTGAAATGGCAATAAAAACTTATTGAATTTGAAAGATAACGTACTGACTTTGAGAAATAAATATTAAACTTATATGAACGTAATTTTATTTTGTAATTTATCAATAAACACATGCACATAAATAAACTATAAACATCAAAAGAACAAAATAGATAATTATTATTATACCTATACAAAAAAAACAATATTGTTGGTAAAATTAAAAAATAGTCTACCTATCGATAATTAATTTTCTTGGCGAACTTGGAACAAACCTTATGTCAACACTAAGTAGACAACGCGCGCTACCAACAGTTTAAAACTTAAAATACCAGGATACTAAAATATCTCAGTATCACCAACCTAAACTTTTAATTTTTTCTTTAATTTTTATTTAAATAAAGGGAAAAAAATCTAAAACTGGAAAACGTACCGAAAACCATCAACGAGGTACTTGCTTTTTTTAAGTACTGAATTCGGTACAAACGTACTGACGCTGGCAACACTGCGCACAGATCATACGACAATGATACAAATTCAATCCCTACCACAGTGGGCGTGGTTTGGCACTTGTTTTATTTAAGTGTATCTATTCGTTTTAATACACACTGTATGATTTTTTTTCGATAGGTGGTTTTTGTTTTATTGATTTTTGAAAATCAAAAAATTCCGATAAATTTGGGTACTTACAAAAATAGCGATATCTCGTAAACTATTAAAAGTAGAAAGGTGAGTGATGGCTTATTTTAAAGGCCTATTAGAGACCTTTTTTATGATATATCACTTGACCTAAATTTTTTCAAAAAAAAAATAAATTTCGAAAATTTGATATGGACTGACCCATACTTTACAAATTATCTCTAAAACAAATCATTTTATCAAAATTTTATAAGAGACAAAAAATTTTCAACAATAATTGATTACCTGAAAAAATACCGTTTGGAAGTCATTGGCGCACGTACTAAAAAATAGGGGGAGTCAGTGAGTACTGGACCCCCCTATTTTGATTATTTGACAATTGTTTTTTGTTTTGTTGGTCTCAAAAAATGTAACTATTTATGTTGAAGTAGTGTACCGAATTTAAACTTAATATCTTATCAATTACTCGAATTATTAAAAAAAATCAGTTTTAAATTTCAAACTTTGTCGCCCTGTATATCGAACATGAAGCTCTAAATTGAAAAATGGTATTATAAAAGTCTTATTGTTTTAACTCAAGGAATATATGGTTAACGGATTGACCTCCTTTTCCCGGACACCCTGTATATGATACCATAGACATCACATAACATTGGATAGAGAAATTAATACGTCCATTTATGATACGAATTGTCAACTAAACAAAATTTAGGTTATATAAAATTTTTCTAAATTATTTGGTTCCATAGCCTGGGTTAAGCTTACAAACATTTTTTTGATTTGGCTTTATAAAAAGCAAAAAGTGGCATAAAATGCATACTATGTAAAATCCACTAAAATCTCGTTAAAACAATAGAAAAAAACCATGCCAAAACAATTGGTATAAAACAGAAAACAAACAAAATTGATAATTATAATAACCATCTACATATTTATATGTCTACCATAAAAATCTTTTGGCTATGATACGATAATCGTGATCAAAATACGATGTTGCCAAATTTTTGCTTTTATAAAAATGCCATTATAAAATCTAAAATATCATCATTTTGTGAGTTTATTATTGTTAAATGCTTTTTTCATACAATTTATATCCAATTTATTAAAAAGTATTTATTATACTTCTTAAATAGGGACAAAAATATGTTGTTTTTTTTAAAACCGGCAATGCAGCTGACGCATGTGCCTCAATGCCCGCTACCTATAGGTATGTGAGAACATTTCCCCTACTTTACCCCCACGAAATGGAAACAGTCTCAGTTAGAAATGATTTGTATATGTGTGGAAGTATGTGCACAACACACATACTTCCACACATATACCGCCTATATTTTGTACAGATGACCTTGTTCCCTTGTTTCTAAGGGGAAATTTGTTCTCGTAGTGTGCCATTTTCCTTTGCAATACACACGAGTTATAACTCGTGTGTATTTACGGAACATACCCACAATTACGAATTGTTTTAAGTTGACAGTTCTAAAACATCAAATAATATGATATGTTTTGTTAATTGACATAAAAACCCAACAAATTATTAATAAAGACATAGTTTAACACTGCTTACTCTATCATTTCAATAGAATCTTAATTGACCATATGCAAGAAATGCGGTCGATGTTGCCAATGGTAAAAAAATAAAATTCCCTATTGGGAACATTCAATTATATTACGTTGGCTACATTCAAAATTTCAGTGTAGCCAACGTAATATAATTGAATGTTCCCAATAGGGAAGTTTATTGTTTTGCCATTGGCAACATCGACCGCATTCCTTGCATATGGTCTCTATTCAACAAGCTCCTGGGCAATTAAAATTGTGATCACTGCACTAATATATAAATGATAAATGATTATCTTTCATATTTACACACAATGGGTAAAACGCAGAATATAAACAAAAATAAATGTCAACCATTTTAGGTGTCATCGCGCATGGTTACGGAATTTTACATGGAAATCTATAAATTGGCTTTTTACAAGACGCACAAATCGTACGGGCACGACTACGGGAGGAAGGAAGGAAGGCAATCTATAATTCAGGCTTAAATCCCGCTATGCGTAGCGGAGTTTCGCTATGGTTGGCAACACTGGTTGAAACGAAGACAGAATTAATTAATGCGCATGCGCATCACGACAAATTCGTGCGATTTTCGCAAAATATTGGATTAATCTCAAGATTCCCGCCCCCCAGATTTCAAATCTTGCGAATTTTTATTGTACACAATTTTGATCTTTGCAGGGATTTTAAAATGTATGTATAATCGTGAAATAGGCAAATATAAAAATTATTTATGCCACAGAAACTTTAAATTTAATTTAAATAATTCTTTGTGTAATTTTATTTTACCAACGGCTATAAATAGTAAAATTAACGTAAGGCTGCAGTGCAAAATAAATGTAATAAACAAGGATAAATTTACAAATTAACAAATAAAAAAAAAATAAAATGAATCCAATGATCCAAATGAACATTTCTTTCAAATAAACTGTGCATAAATAACGAACTGAGCAAGCGCACAATGCGTGTGATTTCTTATTGGATATTTCTAGACGCGGTATATGACAGTTAAGATGTCTAGTGAGGGTGATTCTGCTAAAAGCGTATTATCAGAGGTAATAACAAAACATTTTCCATATTTCTTTATTTTTTTATGACAAATATGTAGCGCTTTATCAATAATAAACTTGGAATAAATTTTGTTTGGGCGGAAAATGCCATAAAAAACAACATGTTTGGTTTTTCAAACCAATATGGCGTATGTTGATGTTTGAAAAAGCGGGAAAGGCCGATATCACTGAAAATATGTAGTTTTATCTTAAGATCTACTGTTACAATGAAATTATAATATCATCTTATTGTAATAAACTTTTCAGGTCAATGAAAAAAGTTGTACAGATCAAACAGATTCATCACAAGATTCCCAAGATGTTAAAGTTGAAAAGAATGATAAGCAAATTGAAAATAACGTTGATTTAAAGACTGAAGAAGAGAAAAAAATGGGGGATTCTGCTGATGATTCTCAAAACTCGGAGAAAAAAGAGGAGAAAGAAGAAAAATTGGAAAACGACAAGCCTAAAAATGATGTCAATGATAAGGATAAGGAAAATAACAAAAAAGATGTAAAGGGTGAGGAAAAGAGTGATGAAAGTGAAAAGGAAGAAGAGGAGGATGAGGAAGATGACGAAGAAGAAGAAGACAAGGAAAAGGAAAGCAAGGAGGTAACTGCCAAGAAAAAGCCAGAGAAAAAGCCCAAGGATGAAGAAGAAGTAAGTTTTTTTCTTTTTATCTAAAAGTTTTTTTAATATAAATTTCAACCTTTCGCTAATAACACTGTAGGGAGGTGAAAATATCACAGCTAAACACTCGGACACATAAACTTCATTTTTGGTCGTAGATTACAAATCCATGCTTGGTTTAGCTGTATTGGGTCAAAATTTAAAGATATTGAAAATACCCTGTATAAATTTAATAAATTTAATAAATTTGGCTAGACCCACAAATCAGTTCCAAATTAAAAAAAAAAATTCTTGCAAAATTTTAAGTTAATTGATCAAAAGGAACACATGTCCCTGAGGGTTTTTTATAAATAATTTGGGAAATTTAAAATGTTTTTTTTTGCGTATAATTGAGGATATTATATTAATTAAAATAAAAAGCATAAGAATGTTGGCACAAGAAGTGAAATATATTATTTTACAAATTATAATATACCACTATACAGTGTGTCCCCGGATCGGATTACCGACAGGAAAAACTTTTTTAGACCTGATACAGCTAAACTGAGCACAGATTTGGAATCTACGACCAAAATTTATGTATACATGTACAAGCGTTTGATTGTGATATTTCAAAAGTTAAAAGTTTACCTACGTAGGTAAACTTTTAACTTTTGAAATATCACTGTACAGTGTAATGAGTCAAATACTGATAACCTAAAAAAAATGGGTTACAATTTTTTTGTACAAGGTGTCCCTAAACTTGGTGGCATAAATTTAGGAGCAGATGAAGCAAGTCAAAATAAGATGAAAATCTAAATAAATATTTTTCCTAATTACGTATGTTTAAAAGCAGGGGCGTGCTGGCTATATCAGACCGGCCCGGGAAATTCATAAAAATCGGCCAACTACACACGAAAAATGGGGGGTGAACAACCAAACATTTATTAATATATTAATAATTAATAACATAAAGTATAAATTAAATTCTTAAAAAAACAGGCAACAAACACAACCAGACAATATTTTATATTTATATATATTTTAAACTTATAAACAATATACAATCTCGAAAAATGAAACAAAGCTGGCAGGCTGGCATACATAACTCAACTAAAAAAGTTTTTAATTGACCACGTGCTGCGGCATGCTGCCTACATAGCCCTCCGGCACACCGGCCCACCGGGATTTCTCCCGGTGTCCCGGCGGCCCAGCACGCCCCTGTTTAAAAGATACAGGGTGATAAAGTGTTACTTATCATATCAGTTTTTTTAATATAACTTCTACTGTGGTAGACTTGGAAAGGTGATATTTTGCGAGCAGTCACTTAGTACCAAAACACATATTCACACATAATTACAATTGTAGAAACAGGGGTTGCTTAAGCTTATTGTCCCATACAAACTTTGAGGTTGGGTTTTATACCATTTGATGCAATTTTTCTATTACTCAGTTCGGCTACTCCCTCTCAAACTTCAATAAAATAAACCGAGATATTCGAGATTACAATAATTGTTATATCTCATTAAAGGACTAAAAGGTACAGGGTGCGTCAAAAAGGTTGCCCCATTTTCAGAGGGTCATTGTTTGGCTCGTGGGGGGGATAGAGCAGTGCGCGTAGTCGCTTTAGGTAGGTATGGGCATGCCATTTTCAGTCGTTATAATGAATATGTCAGAAATATTTGGGATGTCAATAAAAATTAAACTAAGAAAAAGCTTTCTATTTTTTTAAAGGTTTATTAATTACGTGAGGGTTTTTTTAAATAAAATGTCCGGGCAAAGTTGTCTCTTTACGCGTTCGCCTAATTTGAACACTTGCGATTTTTTTGTGGGGGTATCTAAAATCACAAGTTTTTAAACATCGTCCACAAAATTTGGAAAATCTAAATGCAGCAATAGGCTTCAAAGTCATTTAAAAGACATTATTTTTAAAACATGAAATGTATGAAATAATATGTTTCCCAAAAATAAAAAGATTTTTTCTTAGTTTGATTTTTATTGACATCCCAAATATTTCTGACAGATTAATTATAACGACTGAAAATGGCATGCTCTATCCCCCCCCACGAGCCGAACAATGACCCTTTGAAAATGGGGCAACCTTTTTGCCGCACCCTGTATATGATAACAAATTTTTTAATTGAAAAAACTACAATTTTTTTAATGTGACGGTCAGTGCAAAAAGTACCGAGGCTCATGGAATGCTCTTTTTAGTTTTTTCAATTAAAAAAATTTATCATATACCTTTTAATCCTTTTAAATAATGCGATATAACAATTATTGTAATCTCGAATATCTCGGAAACGTTTTATTTTATCGAAGTTTGAGAGGTACACCTTTGGACTGGTAGCCGAACTGTGTAATCTAAAAATTGCATCAAATGTTATAAAAATCTAACCTCAAAGTTTGTATGGGACAATAAGCTTAATGCAACCCCCATTTCTAAGACTGTGTTCTCTCAAACAATAATTGTTATAATTATTATAATTATGTGTGAATATGTGTTTTGGTAGTAAGTGACTATTCGCAAAATATCACCTTTCCAAGACTACCATAGTAGAGGTTATATTAAAAAAAAAGATATGATTAAGTAACACTTTATCACCCTGTATCTTAGAAATCTTAGATATTAGGAAAAATATTTATTTGAGTTTTCGTCTTATTTTGACTTGCTCAATCTTTACCTAAATTTATGCCCATAAGTTTAGGGACACCTTGTATATAGTGTAATGGGGTTAATGTTGGAAACAATTTATTGAAAGAAATATAAAGGTTAATTTCCATTAAAGTATACAACAGTCACCTCTATGACACAGTAGCTGGAATTACCTTTTACAACTGGGACAGTGTATCATTACATTTAGAATGTATTTATATACCACTAGTATTTAAAAAACTTGGTAGGGACGAATGAGGAGGTGCATTCCAAAACTTGGCTTATCCCTATTAGTTGTTTTTGAGCAAAATGTAAAAACCTTACACGTGAGTACCAACGCATTTTTATTAAAAGTTGATAAGCCGAGTTTTGGAATGGACCTCCTCAAATATGACCCAAAGATAATTTTTAAACACAAATTTCGAAAATAAATCGCAGTGAAAGGGTTAAATAATAAAAATGTTATTGGGTACTTTATTTTATAATATATAAATGTATATATATATACTATGTATATTATACATGTACATATATATTTATATATATGTATAATGATTCCTTTTTGTTTTAGTCTCAAAATGATATTAAATTTGAGAATGGGTCAGGTACTGCACTAGGAGGAATTCCAAGAATTGATGCTTCTATATCTCGTTTTAAAAATGATGATCTAAAAATATTGCATCGTATTTTATATGATACTGTTGGAAAAACAAATTTGTTTAAAAAGAATATTAAAAAGTTTAATGGTTTCACATTCAAAAAAGGTTCAGATGAATATGAAGCTAAATTGGCCCTAGCAGACGAGTTTGAACTAAAACAATTAAAAAGTGTTTGTGAAATGTTGGAATTGCAAAAGACTGGTTCTAAAGATGATATTATTGATAGAATACTGGGATTTTTAATTGAGCCCAAGGATAATGCAGCAAAACCTGTAGGTGGTAGGCCCAAGAGAACAGCAGCTGTAAAAGCAAATAACAGAGGTATATTAAAAATAAATCTACTAGTACAGATTAATACAATCAATATTTTTAGGTTATTCTTCTCATGATGATTACTCAAGTGATGAAAAGAACAGTCCTAGAGGTAGAAGAGATAAAGGTAAACGTCCAAATCTAAAAGATGACACTTCAAGTGAAAGTGATGAGGACTTTCATCCCTCAGATGAAAGTGAAGAGAAACCTAGGCCAATCAAGCGCCGTGGCCGTAAGAAGGCAGTATCAGAAGAGGAACTCAGTGATGCCAGTGATGCATTTACTGATGAAAGTGACGTGAGTCAATGAAATTATTTTTTAATTTAATATGTTAATTTAATGTTTAAATTGGAGGATGAGCCTAAAAGTAAAAAGAAGAGGACTCCAAAGGCCAATAACAAATCAAAGGGAAGGGGCACAGGTAGAAGGGGCAGGCCACCTGGTTCAGGCAAAAAAGGTCCTGGCAGGAAGGCAAAGAAACCCAAGGATTCAACTGATGAAGAGGAAGAAGAAAGTGACAAACATGATAGCTCTTCTGAAGATGAACCTTTGGCCAAAAAGGCTAAGGGTAAAGAACCGCCCACAGTATGTAGGAGCTTTTTGTTTTTACTATCATTTATTAATTGTTTTATTTTATTTTTAAGGATGATGAGATTAAAGCCTACATCAAAAAAATACTAGAAGGAGCAAATTTGGAAGAAATTACCATGAAAAATGTGTGCCAGAAGGTTTATGCCCATTATCCAGACTTTGATCTTGCTCACAAAAAAGATTTTATTAAAACAACTGTTAAATCGGTAAGTATTAAATGCCTTACTAATATATTTCTACAAGCATTGATGAAGATTTTTTTTAAGAAAAACCAAAGAGTAAAGTTAATAAGATAATGTACAAATTACCTAAATTGTTTTTATTAAAATATACAGGGTGTCCCATAACTAATGGACAAAAGAGCAACTAAACATATTAAATTTTCAAATAACACAGATATGCCTTAGTACAGTAGTGGGCAAACTTATTAGTCAACAGAGACAAATTTCTTTTCAAGAACCATGTTTTTCGGAGTCGACATAAACTACCTACTAAACAATAAATATAACCAGATATAATATTAATGTTATTTTAGACACAGAGAAAATAAAAAAGTAACTATTGATGCGCAGAACAGTAATCCACTCCATTAACATGTGGAAATAATCTTTAATGTGCAGAATATTGTATAACCCTGCCTACTTTTCATTTTAATGAAAAAAAAATTATAACTCGCTATTAAATAAACATAAAACAATATACAGGAAATACTTTTCTCTACGACTACTTAAGAATAGTAACATTCTAGTGCAATTTTTGATCATAGAAAGGATGTTTTTCTGCAATACTGTGCGAGAATATTCCTACTCTTGTTTAAGAATGGTCACAAGTAACGACATCTCCTGGCTGTTTACTAAACGTAAAAAATTTAAAAATATTTAAATATTACTGTATTAATTTAATTAAAAAATAATAGCAGTTGTATAATTAAGGTTTAGGCACAAAAAATTAGTTATATTTATTGTTTTTCAAATATACAAATCAAAATTATAATAAATTTGATATTAAAATGATAAACCAGTTACCTACTATACCGGCTTTGAAGTTTTGACAGATTCAAAAAGACCTTTAAAATGTAGAAAAAGAATAGATGTTGACATAGATTAAGCCGGGTCTACAATTGTCGCAGAACGCAGATCGCAGAACGTAAGCATGCGCAAAGCACCCAGCGACGTTGCGATGGAGCAAGGTCACACGTCGTTGTTATGTGAGCTGTCTACAATTGTCGCGCGATGTGCTTTTATTGACCAATCAGAGCAATTGTTTTCTTTATAACCACAGTGTGGCCAACGTAGAAGTGTTTCCCCTAAATTTAGTGAAAAAAAACAGAGATATGGATGGATCCCTATCTCTAAAAAACTGCTTGGGGTTTATTTTTAGGTAAAAAATGTTTAAGAGTTTATATATAATTATATTTGTATATTATATATATATAATATAAATGAAAAAATGCAAATTTTTAGGGAATAAAAAGTAAAGTGTTGGTGACACTGGGTTGAGTATTTCACACCAACCTTTATAATCTGTGTTTACCTGATAAAATAAATTAATTTTAAAACAAAAATTACCTTGATTATCATATGATATTATTATTATTTAAAATTTTAAATAATTATTTTGATCAAAATTTGAAAATTCTAAATGATTTTCGATATTTCCTAAAAACTACCTATTTAAATCAATATAGGTATGAATATTCAATAGTAATAAGAATATACATACCTACATTTATTTAAATGGTCTTTAGAAAATATTGAAAATTATTTTAAATTTGGACAATTACGTTTTTCGAATAATTTCTGAGAATTACACCAAAAATTTAAAAATAACCGCGAAATAGGAAAAGGAACTAAATAAAAGTATTGATTATTGAAAGAAAGAGAGCACAGAGACAGATAGATTCTAGCGCTCTATGATTGGCTAACATAAAAGCCTGCGAAAGACGTTATTGAAGATGAATTAACTTTCTGCGACGTGTGACCTTGCTCCATCGCAACGTCGCTGGGTGCTTTGCGCATGCTTACGTTCTGCGATCTGCGTTCTGCGACAATTGTAGACCCGGCTTTACTTGTAAAATTAGTAAGTGTAAATAACTATTTTTAATTATAATAAAGATTTAGGCATACCATTTGTTTAAATTTATTATAATTTACATTATAAAATTGTGACGGCACAAAATGGTTTGACAATACAAAAAACTTAAATGTCAAAAACTGCTTGGTTTCTTTTCTCTGTATAAAATTATATAAGCGTTACTATTCTTACGTAGTCGTAGAGAAAATGATGTCTGAAACACGTTTGGAATAGCATATTCCACTCTCGTAAAACCGTCACACTCGCCTTCGGCTCGTGTGTCAAACTTTTCCTCGAGCGGAATATGCTGTATTCCAAACTTGTTACAGAATGTACTATTGTAGGAAATTTTACTCTACAAAAATTCTTTTACGTTGTTTTTGTAAAACCTTCCATTAAAATGTTCTACACCCATATGTACATCATGATACAAAATGTGACTTAAAAAAAATATCCGTTTTTTTTTTGTTTTTTTCTAGGTTTATTTTTTCATATTTTATGTTTTTTTTTTCAAGTTCCATTTGCATAAAGTTTTATGTTTCCAGTCCGGTTTATAGACTAAAATTTAGCCAGTAAAGGACATTTGGTAAATGTAAATACAGTCACGCGCTATGCACGCTCCACCACCACCGAATTGACCAATAATGGCCGCGCTCTCCTCTTGCTGCGATCAGGCGTCAGGGTTTGTTTTGATTTAATCTTAAAAAAAGGAACTACCTATAAATTATAGGTAGTTACTTTTTTTAAGATTAAATCAAAACAGGCTATAATAGACTTCAAGTTTTACATTGTTATTGGTTTCTTATCTCGGAACTACCAAATAATAAGAAATCAAATTTTTTAGTTTCAGTCAAAATTTTCAAAAATGGAAAATGTAATATATTCTAAATTTCACATTATTAGTATACATTTTGCTTAAAATTTCATATTGAAAATATACTCAATTTTTTAAGATTGATGTTTTTTGTTAATGTGTCCTGGTTTTAATTGTGTACTGTTTTTGTCCTGGTTTTGCAGATTCGGTCCTGGTTTTAACTATTTTTTTTATTATTGACATTATTAGCAATTTTTCTTTAAAAGTGGTCGGGGCTCAGGTTAAAAATCAATTTAAAAATTTAAAACTTTGGAAGTACATTTAGAAGAGAAAAAAGTAAGAAAAAACCACGTTTGAAAAAAAAATATATAAAAAATTATGTCTTTTCACTTTTTTGGATTTGTTATTTTATTAATTTTTTTTAAAAGTGGTCTGTGCTCAGGCTAAACATTAATTTACAAATCTGAATTTTTGGGAGTATCTTCAGGAAAGGGGGCATCAATTAATTACGTGAGGTGTTTAGGGGGAGGGGGTCGAGCCAAACCTCACCCAAATTCACGTGGGGGGAGGGTGGTCTCGGCAAATATCACATAATTTTTTTTTTTCGAAAGAAACAGTGTATATCAGGGACCCGGACCCAAATAAAATAACGCTTTCTGTCCGGTTCCGAGATAAACGACAAATTTCCATTTGGGTTCAGTAACGGTTCCAAAAAAAATATTTCTGTCCGGTTCGGACCAATCTTTTCGGTCCATACAGTTTTTTTTGGTTCCAGTTTTTTTACCATTTATAAATAAGTGCCTACTTATAAAAAGAATTTTTTTTTTGTAATTTTTTTTTGGCATGTAATTAAATTACTTTGTCTCTTTTTTTTCAAATCAGGTTCTTCAATTTTAGGCTCTGCATTCTCTTTTTCTTTACTTTTATTCCCGATCAGCTGGCTACCTTTATCTTTTTCTTGTGATTAAAAAACTGAAAAATTCACATTTAAAATAAGTTATCCAAAAATAAAAAACTGAACTTTTAGCTTTTGTTCTTTTTCTCCAAAAATTCTGTTAAGAGAAGTAAAAATTTGAGACCAGAAAACAGCTTTTCAACGCTTACTTAAGTCGGTTACATATAGATGCTAAATACGAATATTATATAGATGTGAACTATTTTGGGGACATTGTTTTTTCACTAGGCAATATTTGCAATGCTATTTTAGGTACTTAAATAGTAAAGTTAGTAAAAGTGACTATAAAGGTAAAATAAGAAACATTAATGTAACACAAAAAACTCTTTGTCCATTATAAAAAATAAAAAACTCTAAACACAGTTCGAATAAAACTTACCGCACAGTCGGTAGAATATTTTGTAGTGGGAGTTTATTAATTACAGTGTTGCCTAGTATTATTTATACATAATATGACATATTATGACATCTTTTTGTTTTCGATAAAGTTATTTTTATTTACATTTACAATATTTATTTATACAACATTTAAAATTGTTATTAACACATCAGGAAACCCTAACAATACTTGTGGTAGAGTGTATAATTTATAGATTTATAGCCCGTGCTTAATTAAATATTTTTTGCAAAAACTAATTTTATAGATTTTTTTAACAAAACAATATATATATATTTTAAATTTTTGCAAAAAGAAATTTAGAAAAAACCGTTTTAAATTTAACCGTTTTAAATTTAAAGGGTTCGGGTTCGGTCTCTAGAGTTACATTTAAAAATAATATGGGTTTTCTGTCCAAAAACGGTCCGGTCCGGTCCCTGTGTAAAATTGCGAGAAAACTTGAGTTAAGTAAAAAATTATAAGCAAATTGTTTTTTTAAGGGTGAGGAGGGTCATGTTGTGTCCTGGTTTTTAATTTTAGAAAGTTGGTCACCTTATTATTGACAGATATGCTTTATTGTATCGCATTTGAAAAAAAACGGAAAAATCCGTTTGTTTTTAGTTTTTTTTCAAATCTGAAAAAAGCGTTTTTTACATCTCTAGACTCTAGACTCTTCATTCCAAAAAACATATGAAGATAGTTTATAGAAGGACACCTCTGTATTAGGGTGGGCCGAAAAATGAAAAAACTGTGGATTTGGAATAAGGTCAAAAAGTTGCCTTTTGGCCAAACAAAAATAATTTCTATTTACAGTTTTTTGTTTCTTTTTACGCCTTTTACCCCCTACCACGGCTCAAAAATTTGAAAAAAATTAAAAAGTGAAAATTTTTTTAATTTTGATTTGGAATACCGCCCAATATTATGAGATTGATAATGCAAAGATAATTTTTATTTACAATTTTTTTATGGTGATAAACCTTTTGCCCCC